GTTGGACAAGACTAAAGCAAGGAGCCAGGAACTCTCTTTTAAGTCCCCCATATGGGTGACAGGGGTTCAAGCACTTAGGCAGTCATCTGCTGCCTTCCCAGGCACATTAGCAGGAAGCAGGATTGGAAGTAGAGCAACTGGGACTCCAGCCAGCACTCTGGGGTCTTGGCATCACAAATGGAGTTTAACTTGCCGTGCTATGACACTGGCCCTCTTTCTAATATTTTAGAAAACACCGGGAAATTAATTGATAGCGAGAAAATATTATTTGGCTAACTTAAAATCTCAAAAAGAGGAGGCAGAAACTAAACTGCTAAAAAGAAAGAAATTTGGGCTTTTTGACCAAAAGAAGTTTTTAGTTCATACCTTAAGAAAACAATGTAAATGTGAATTCAGTATAACATCTATTCTGTTACATAGTTTTACTGTGAATACTAAACATTACTGATGTATTTTGTTTATTCTTTTCCTCCAACTTCTTCAAGACCTGTATCTGTCCCTTCTAGAATATAAGATGAAAATATATGATTGAAGCTTTTTAAATGAACTCGTGCTCCCTTATACACGTTTTGCCTCAATAACAGCATAACAGAAAGTGTTTCTGTGAAAGTTATATTTATTTTCAACAGATTGTATAGAGGGTAAAAGTCCTAATCTAATTATTTAATCACATGAATGCTATTAAAAATAAAAGGTTCATTGATTTAGCAAGTATTTATAAATATCTGCCTTCATAGAATTAAAATTTTTTCTTTTGTCTGTTAACACATACATGTTAATTCCTGCATACTTGTGCAAATATTTATATAGGTTTTCCTTTTTCAATTCATATATCTTAGCTAATAGCTAAAACATTCAAATATACTTTTAACCTATTAGGTATGGAGTTTATGGAGTTTAACAATGGATAATTTTTAATTATAGCTATGTCCCTTTAATACTAAAAGGCAATATTTAAACAACAAAAAAGAAATTTGAAATGCTTGCTAAGGATTTCTATGTGCTTGTTTTTCCCGTTCTAGGATTTGGGGGAAGTTTTTAATTTGCCTTTTGTTATTTATCCTTTGAGCATCCAGATGTTCAAATACTCTTGTGCCTATTCTGTGCCAGCCATTGTTCTCAGAACCAGAATTCTGCCATGAGTCAGCCAAATGCAGACACCATCACACACATTTCAGATACGTGGACGAGTTTCCTCTTAGAGAACAGAAGAGTCTGAAATAGAGTCAGAGTACCTGTTTGATGTATCAATTTCACATTTGCTATATTGACAGAAACAAAAGTATTATACCATATTTTAACACACAAAAGTATTACATCATATTTTAACATACTAACATTTGCTTGTATTACATAACTAAGCTGCTTTTTCAATCTGTATAATCAGTAATTAATCAACAATCACATTCAGTATTCAGGGTTTTATCATACTGGTTTTTTTACTCTATATAAGCTATGTAAAATAATTTTACATATATACATAGTGTCCCTCACTATGTCATTTTCAAAATATTACTCCATCATTGTGTACTCTAAATTATATACAACCACCTCTGGGTGAAGTTCAGGCTGCCTAAATACAGTCCCTCCCATCATTTCATGAAACTTTGACACACATAATTTATAGTCAGTATATGATGTGAATCTTCAGGTGGAAAATGGTCTAGTTTTTAATGGTCAGCTTTATAGTTTAATAATCACTTTTCATTTGGTCTTCAGACTCATATATTCCTGGAAGCCTTTAAGCCTCTTACCCAAATAACGGACAGATATTTGCATGAGACACTATGCTGTAGGGACCTCAGAATGAGTCAGTTTATTTTGCTTTGAGCTACTCTTTTTTGATGGTAAGATGAAATTGAAAGAATTACTAGCTACTAGTTACAGGGTTGAGAACCATTTACAAATTAAAGTATTTTTATAAAAATTAACACTAAGAAAGGTAGGAGGGGAGAGGGTGGGAAAAAGGAGGGAAGGAGAATAGGGTGGGAAGTATCATTAGCTCTTAAAACTGTACATATGAAATACATGAAATTTGTTCCCTTTATGTAAATTTTAAAAAGTTATAAAAAGAAATTAAAGCATTTTTTATCGAGTGTCACAGCCTTTGTCTGAATATTAAATTACATGGGATGACTTAGCATAAAGATATTTTTTAAGTATCTACTTACACATTCACCTGTTAATGTAACAAATTAGGCACAGCTGATGGATTTTGAAAATAGCAGGTGTCAGCCTCTGTTAAAATCAATCAGTAGCAAGATTGTATATATTAAATCCTATATCATGTCATGAAAATTTATTTATACTTTAACCACGAATAAGCATAACTGTCAGCTTTGCTATTGATGTGTTTCAACTCCAGATATTTTACTGAACACTAATTTTTTAAATTTCAAAGTTTGCAGCATCATTGAGAAAAACTATCCAAATGCATTCTATCATTCTTTTCAAAAATAATTTACTGGGGCCAGCGCTGTGGCATAGGGGGTCCTGCCACGCTGGTATCCCACAGGGGTACCAGTTTGAGTTCTGGCTGCTCCACTTCTGATCCAGCTCTCTGGTATGGCCTGGGAAAGCAGTAGAAGAAGGCCCAAGTCCTTGGGCTCCTGCATCCACCTGGGAGTTTTGGAAGAAGCTCCTGGCTCCTGGCTTCAGATTGGTCCAGTTCCGGCCATTGTGGCCATCTGGGGAGTGAACTAGCAGATGGAAGACCTCTTTCACTCTCTATCTGTTTTTCTGTAACTCTGATTTTCAAATAAATAAATGAATAAATCTTTTTAAAAACTATTTCATTTTATTTAATAACTATTACTTTAATAGCTTATTAATTTAATTTAATAATTATTTAATTATTGCTTAGAGTTGAATATTATCTTGAAAATACCATTTTGTTTAGTCCTTTGCATTTTAAGAATTAATGAGGCTTTTTTTAACAAAAGTTTCAGAATTTATATTTACTTTTTAAGATTTATTTTTATTTATTTGAAAGGCACAGTTATAGAGCGAGAGGGAGAGACAGAGTGAGAGATCTTTTATCTGCTGGTGTACTCCCTAAATGACAACAAGGGCCAGGGCTGGGCCAGATCAAAGCCAGGAGCCAGGAACTTCTTCCAAGTCTCCCACATGGGTGCAGGGGTCCAGAGACTTAGGCAGTCTTCTGCTACTTTCTCAGGCAGGGAGTGGGATCAGAAGAGGAGCAGCTAGGCCTCAAACTGGCGCCCATCTGGGATGCTGGTGTCGCAAATTGGAGCCCATATGAGATGCCATGTCGGCATTTATATTTCCAAATAAATATGCTTTTAAGTAGTCTTACTGGTACAGTGTGCATTTATTCTAATGACAAAATCATTTGGCAGCCATCTCAAACTCTATTTTGATATTGATTATGAAATCTGTTTTTACTTATCAAAAAATATAATCTTTCCTTCTAGTTAATTTTTGTTAAAATGTGATCACTGCGGTAGACATTGTGGTGCAGTGTGTTAAGCTGATGCTTAGGATGCTGGCATTGCATATTGGAGGGCCTGGTTTGGTTCCTGGCTCCTCTGCTTCCAACCTTCCTTCCTACAAATGTGTCTGGGAAGGCAGCAGATGGTGGTTCTCATACTTGAGTCCCTGCCACCTATGCGGGAGTCCAGATGGAATTCTGAGCTCCTGGCTTCAGCCAGGCCAGTCCTAGATCTTGCAGGCATCTTGGAGAGCAAACCAACATGGCAGATAGATCTCTCTCCCCACCGCCCAATCTACTTCTTTGTTTCCTATAAATAACTAAATATTTCTAAAAATGTGAACACTAAGATTATTCACCAAACTTGGCCTTTGAATGGTGTTCAACTGTCTCTAAAACTTAAATCCCTCCTCTTTCTTCTTTTTCATGGACATAGGTTTATCACCATTAAAAATATTCTGAAGAATCCATTTCACACACTTGCCCAGTTAACCTTTTCCACTTCAACTTAATCATTTTAATACATACTAATTTATCTGGAGGCAGTTTAGTATAGTATATTTAAAATTATCTAATTGAATAAGAGTATAATATCCAACTGTAATGTCTTCAAAAAGTTATTAAATAATAATTATAATTGTTAGTAAACAGTCTGGCCAAAAGCTTTCTATTTTTATTTTATTTTATATAAGCAGACTTGTGCCACATAGGATTTGAAGAACGGTGCTTCAGAGAAGTTTGTAAATCATAGTCTAATAAAATACAAGTATAGAGATACAGAGGTATGTGCCATGTGGATCCTGAGCACTCAGCATACCTTAGTTGGGAAAATTATTGGCATCAGTCGCTGTGCCATTTTATCTTCCATTTTCAGTATTAGTAGATTGAACTTCACGGTATGGGCAAATATTGAGTTCTGCCACACTTTTGAAAGATCCGTTACATGAGGCATTGCATTTTTCTTATAGTTTATTTGCTATATTGGCAATTTAAGATCTGTACCTACCAGTAGCCTTTGCTCAAAACTAATTCATATGCCAGGCCCAATTCTAATATGAGTCAAATAATTTACATGAGTCAAATCAGTAAATCCTCATAACAGATTTTTGGAGGTAGATTCCCTTACCTCCATTTTTCTGTTGTGGAAACTAAGTCTCAGAGATTGAATAATTTGGCCAGTGTCATTGAAGGAACTGAACATTTAAGCCCCCACAGTCTCTGTCTAGAGTGTGTGTTGTTGACCATTCTATTGCACTGCTCTTAGGAAATCATAAACATAGGATTTATAGCAACTGCATTTTTCGCTTATTTTCTTTAGTGATGGAGGTAGAGGAGTAAACCCACGGGTGAGGGTGGTGGCAGGGAGGGCAGCAAGGCTCGTGCCAGTGGCCTTTGACAGCTCAGTTAGAATTCAGGATGCTTGTTAGTAAGGTTTCACACCTTCTGCTTTACTTGAGTATGTAGCTTAATTTCTGTCTGGATCATTTTAATCCTGTTTTATGGTCCCTATTTCATGAAACATTTTTGATAAATTCTTTTGTTTTTACAGAAACTCAAACAGAAGAATCAACAGCTGAAGCAAATTATGGATCAATTACGAAACCTCATCTGGGATATCAATGCCATGTTGGCCATGAGAAACTAAGCTGATGTTTAAACGTCCTGCTTTACACGTTATTCTGTGTTTTTTTTCCTTTCGAAGAAGATTATTTATCTGTTTTTATTTTAGTCAATAGACCTAATTTTCCTATTTTTACATTGTAGTTTTTATGTTAAAGGATTGTTTTTAAAAAATGATTTCACAGAAGAATATTGTAATAAACTTTGAAAGGATTTGTGTTTTTGTTAATCTTCATGAATTGAATAATTGTTTTTTAAAAGCAAAATAAAATTTTGTAAATAAATTTTTAAATTTGATCAATGGTTTTTCTAATTTCAGTGACTCACAAGAATATGTAGATATTTTTATAGATGAAAGTATGCAGTACAATCAGTCTGTGGCACAAATTAATTAATTTCCATTTTGGCTTTTTTTTTTTTCAAATTTATTTTCAAACCAGTTAAAAGAAAATAGTTAACTTGTATATTGCTATAAGTAGATGAAAATGACTATTATATTTGGTTGTGTTTTTTTTGACAGGCAGAGTTAGACAGAGAGAAAGGTTTTCCTTTTTCCGTTGGTTCACTCCCCAAGTGGCTGCTATGGCTGGCGCGTTGTGGCCGGCGCACTGTGCCAATCGGAAGCCAGGAGCCAGGTGCTTTCTCCTGGTCTCCCATGCAGGTGCAGGGCCCAAGGACCTGGCCATCCTCCACTGCCTTCCCAGGCCACAGCAGAGAGCTGGACTGGAAGAGGAGCAACCGGGACAGACTCTGGCGCCCCATCCAGGACTAGAACCCGGTGTGCCAGCACCGCAGGCGGAGGATTAGCCTAGTGAGCTGTGGCGCCAGCCTATATTTGGTCTTAATTGAAACGATCTGTCTCGAAAAGGGGAAAAAATCAATGATCTGAGAATGGCATGAGCTGAAATCACCGCTATATGCTTGTCTACTAACTGCCAAGAAAAAAGCACCTGATTTTTCATAGACATCCCAAAGTAATCATGAATGTGTTTTGGAGACAGTGTGTTTTTAAGACCATAAATGATACAGTTCTATATGACAGGTGCTGCTGGGTTTGTTTTTTTTTGTTGTTGTTGTTGTTCTATAATAAGTTTATGGGTCTTTGCAGAGAACGGATTTCTCAGATTATATATCCTCAGATAAGAGAGTTGAATTCTTCTCAGGAATTTTTTTTTAGCCTGATTCAGAAGCCCGGAACTATAGGACTGAGTTCTCACTCTGAAATGCATCTGTTAGACTTCTCTCGCACTAAAGTAAAGCTTCTCTAGGAAGTCACACCAGAAATGTAGGCTGCTTCCTCTTGGGAGGGGGACTGGATGCCTGAGGATAAGAGTGAAAAAAGGCCCTGACTTCACTGCATGTGTGTGTTGTCTGAGCAAGCGCGGTGTTCTGTGGGTGAGGAGCTTCCCACAGTGGGAAGTTCTGCAGAGCTGTAGGCCAGAAGGTGAAGTACATGAAGCTATGACAGAAAAATTAGTTCCAATAGTCCAACTATAAAATACATTCTTTGCATTGATAGTATTAGAATAATATTACACTATTGTTTTTATATTGGTAGTTACTGTTGGAAATTTACTATTGCTGTTTACTCCTCTGAATTTATTGTTTTGAAAGATGTTTTAATGTGTTTGATATTTTCAGTGATCACACTGAGCTGCTTAGATATTCGAAATGCTATATACTCCTAGAGGGAATGTGGAGAATGCTTTGTTTGGGCCTTAGTTCTGTAGAAAATGTCTCAGAAAGTAGTCAGTGCTGCTCTACTCTACCACACAGGTGTCGCTCCAAGTTCTGGGAGTTTCTTTTCTCAAGTGAGGATTGAGACTGGTTTACCCAGTCACTCACAGTCTACTTAGACCACTTATGAATATGGTTATTAAATAACCTAGATCCTACTCTCAACTTTTTCTTAAGGAAGAGCAGGCTAATATATTGAAGAGCAAAGGAAGATGAATTCAATGTGTGTGTGTGTGTGTGTTTGACAGGCAGAGTGGACAGCAAGAGAGAGACAGAGAGAAAGGTCTTCCCTTGCCGTTGGTTCACCCCCCAATGGCCGCTGTGGCTGGTGCGCTGTGGCCGGCGCGCCGCGCTGATCCAAAGCCAGGACCAGGTGCTTCCTCCTGGTCTCCCATGTGGGTGCAGAGCCCAAGCACTTGGGCCATCCTCCACTGCACTCCTGGGCCACAGCAGAGAGCTGGACTGGAAGAGGAGCAACTGGGACAGAATCTGGTGCCCCGACCGGGACTAGAACCCTGTGTGCTGGTGCCACAGGCGGAGGATTAGGCTATTGAGCTGTGGTGCCAGCCCGTGTGTGTTTTCAATAAGGCAAATTAATCTCAGTTATCTCATCAATAAAATCATTGGTGAGATTAGTTGATATTATATTCTGTTAAGATTTTGGTTACAAATGTTAGAGCCTTACTTCAAATGGATTAAATGCAAAAGGTGATTAAAAACTGATAGCTCCTTTATCAAAAAAAGATGCTAGAGAAGAGCTCACAGGAAAAAAAATAATTCAGGAACCAAAGCTTGATAAATTAGAAGCAAGATTCAGTGACCCAAGGTTATGTATCCACCTTTAATTTCTGCTTATCTTTCTTTACTCCATTGTCTCATTGCAGACAGACTTTCTCCAAATGGGAATGAAGATGGCCTTCCTACTCTCTTACCTTTACATCTTTTCTGTATCCTGACCCTAGAGCTGAGCTAGTTCCCTCTCCCCTCACTCTAAATTAGGAAATCCTAGAATGGACTCTCAAAAGCTTGGGTGAACCAACCTGTAGGGCCCACTGTGTACACAGGTCTTATACTTAGACTAACATAGCTTATAAACCCATCTTTGTGAATTGGAATTAGGTAAGTGAGTCATGGAAATTACCAAGAATTAGGTAAGTGAGTCATGGAAAAATATACAGGGAACAAATATTAGAATAAAAGGAGAATTACTAGGAATAGTTACAAGAAAAGCCAGCAATGGCAACCACAGTCCACTGGTGTATTTCTTTGGTTATACTTTCACAGACATACTAGTCACTCAAAGAAGCCCCCCAAATGTTTGCCGAAAACAAAATGCATCATTGACTATCATGGAGAAATTACTTTTTACTGAATTTGTAGACTTCTGTGTTAAAAATATTTTGTAGCTGTTTGGATTAATTGCCATGCAGTCTTGTCAGATCTTGATTATCCTGGGTCAAAGTGATAGGAAAAAGCTAAGAGGAAAACTCCAACCTGTTGGTAAGGACATTATCTTTAAAGTGATTTGGAAATCTACAGCCTTAATCATTCAGACAGTAGATCCCCTGGCACCCTTACAAGCCAAGATGTGTGAACTTGACATTTTGATGTAGTTCCAATGTGAGTAATTTATTTTCTTTCACTAAATTCCCACTGAAGTTTAAGCCAGACAGAAGGGTTTTTCAGCCCTAAACAAAAATGTGTGCTTGTCCTAAAGCCTCAGAGAGTGTTATCCCGAGTGTTAAATTTACCCAACACAACAGGATGCCTTAAATTTTTGTCTAATCCTCTAAAACACTAGTGTATCAAAGACTGATATTTTTAACCCTAGATTGAAAGTTTTCTAGGCGTGATTTTTTAAAACATGCTAGCAGTCTAATTTTTTAAAACCTTTTTAAGCTAAAGAATTAGTGATTAGATACATTTAATATTTTTATAGTTTACATTTTCACATAGAATTGACATTGTGTACTGAGACAAGGGATAAAAAGGATTTTTTTTATCAAATTCTGCTGCTGATGATACATAGTTTTAATTCTAAAAAGTACCTGTAAACTTAGAAAGCATAAATTATATTTTCTCTGTACTTTTTAGTCTATTATGACACTAGATCTCAAGACAACCAAGTAACATACCCTTTATTAGAATTACCTAAGTCTTTATTAAGTTTTTCAAATGCTAGTTTGAGACAATACCTCTTCAACTTTAGTATGTACAAGAACCACTTGGGGGACATTTTAAAAAATATATAGATTTGGATTTATCACAAATATACTGAATCAGAATCCCTAAGATAGAGGTCTGAAAATTTGTGTATTTAACAAGTTTTCTAGGTTACCTGTCACTGACACTGAAAAATATTGTTTTAAGTAATTCAGTGAGAATTTTTAGCAGTATTTTAGTATGAAAAACCATTCAAAATAAGCAGTAGTGATATATATTATGACATACTTAGAGTTCTGGCTTTTCAAGTATTAAAAATTATAGTCTACCAGTATATCAGCAGTTCTCCGCCTTGGCTGCACATAAGAATTAACTGGGGCAATGTTAAAGTTCCCTGTGCGAAAGCCACACCCACACCAATTAAATCATAGTTCTGGAGCAGGGTCCAGGCATGTGTGTTTTAAAGTTCCCCAGGTGATTCCAATGTGAAGCCAAGGTAAAAACCATTACTCTATATTGTCTCGTAGGCATGCAGAGAATCTTAACGGATTGTTTTCTCCAGAAAGTTTTAAATATTTGGAGCAAGGAATAGCTATCTACCTTTTTTTTAAAAGAAAGACTTATTTATTTGATAGAGAGAGAAACAGAGATCTTCCATCCACTGGTTCACTCCCCAGATGGCCACAACGTCCTAAAGCCAGGTGTCAGGAGCTTCATTCAGGTCTCCCACGTGGGTGATGGGGGCCCAAGCACTTGGAACATTTTCCACTGCTTTCCCAGGCCATTACCAGGGAGCTAGGTCAGAAGTGGAGTGGCCAGGACTCGAACTGGTGGCCATATGGGATGCCGGCATCACAGGCAATGGCTTTACTACAACCCCGGGCCCATATATAGTGTATTTTTTAAGAATATTTCACTAACCCTGAGCTGCTGAGTGTCAGCGGTTAAGGACTCTCAATCTTGTCATCTACTGTTGTACCACTAAGGGAAACACAGTTGAGAATTTTTACAGGCAAAAGGAAAAATGGGCGTTGCTACATGGTGTCTGTCCTTAAATTTCATAACACTTCTAAGATATTACAGAGGTTGAATGAGGCCAAAAGGAAGGCTACATTTCTCTTTGTTGCATCCTAGTCATGGCCACTTCTTGCTTTAGACCGATAAAAATAACTAGCCTGGATTTATATTTTACTACCCTAATAGTCATTTATTAATCAGCTACAGGCACCAGGCATAAGGCTGGGGACTGGGCATACTGACATAGTAAGGACCATTTTTAGAGGTTATGGAGCATAAGGTAAAAGAACCATTCATATGCAAGGTCTTCCCAAAAATTCACAGAGATCACATAATATGCATGATTTCATTTTTTGCACCAAAATAAACACCTTTTAATT